TCGCAGGTGGTGACGTTTGGAAACCTAAATCCGGTTATTGACGTCCACATGCAGATGCACAGACGGAGGATTCACAGATCTTCACTTCGGTCAGAGGTTTTTGAAAGAATCGTTTTTAATGCCATAAATCTGCGTTTTGGTGTGAAGGACAGGCCACATCGTAGAAACACATCTTGGTTTAGTGAGATACCCTGCTACGTGTGGACGAGGCCTCGATTATACCTAAAAACACCACAGGAGACGGTTTGTAGAGGTGTTCTTTTTCTGCCATTTTTGTCCTTATAGCCTGCAGTTCATAGTCGTATTTGCAGGATTTGTCCACATGGCCCAGCACTCCTTGATCACTGGCTTCCGAAGGGTTGCGTGTGATGTCAGTGGCTGCATGTGAAGCTTCCCTGTGGGATCCTTTGGCCTCCAGATTCAGTTTCCTGTCTATACCCTCTGGACCGAAGTCTGTCACAAACACATTTGGATCGACTCAAGCTCGAGTGTCTGAGGACCTCAAACCTTACGGTGCTTTTTTAAGAACAGATTTCTCATCAGCGGCACCATTATCAGGAAAAGAGAACTGCTTCAGAAGTGACTGATCTAAACGTCGGTATTAGGACATAAAAATGAAAAATTGTTACAAAAAACTAATTACATTTATAAATTTACTGCAGTGTGTGAGCAAAACATCAGCAGAAATACACACGATTTCTTGCAAAAAGTCACAAGAAGCTGCAAAATAACCCCAGTGAGATGCTAAACATGACCAAAAGATGCAAAATAACTACAATGAGACACAAAATGACCACAATGAGACGCCAACAATCGTTAAAAATGCAAAATAACCACAAAGAACCATAAAACAACCACAAGGACAACGAGTGTGAACACAAAAAGATGCAAAATGACCACAGTTTGCTGCAGGCAACTACATAAATATGAAAAATGGCCACACTGAGACACAAGAAAACTACAGAAAGATGTGAAACAACCACAAAGAGACTCAATAAGGAAGTCAAGAATGTTTTATTTTATACTTTATTTGACTACACTATAATTTGAAAGTAAGTATAAGTAGTTTAGGAGCAGCCAGATGCTCATAACAACAAACGTTGTTACTAAAAGTCATCCAGTTTTTGAAGTGCTATATCCAGTTCATTAGTCTGGCATGCTCTCTGTACTTTACATCAGAAGTGCATCAGGAGAGGCTCGTTAAGGCTGAGATTCAACGAGGACCTGGGTGACAGCAGAGCCTGGAGCGTGCACACAGCAGCATGTTCCTGCCGTTTACTGCTGCCTTATGAATACATGAGGCCGAGTGTGTGCAGTTTGGCCCGACTGCCACCGCCTGTTGCACAATAATAACTGAGCCTGTTTGTTTGTTTGGAGGAGCAGCGGGGCTTCCACGCTTCGGCTCCCCATCAGGACTAAAAGCGTCCCACATCTGAATCACGCTGCCTATTTTCAGCCGGCCTTTACTTCCTGCTAACAAACACAACACGTCGCTTCGGGAGAACCGTGACGTCACGCCTGGACCGCACACACGCTCGGGAGTGTTGTTCAGGTTCGGTCGAGGCCGCTGTGTCGCATTGTGAGTGGGTGGGTGTCAAACGGATTTCTACGAGGAACTGAAGGGAAGTGAGGAGGTGAGCTGCGTGGGAGAGAGTGACATCTCCACGGATGTCTTCGCGATCACTCACAGTCCTCGGTGTGCTTCAGATAATTACAACATGAGCGGATCAGTGGGCAGGAGGAAGTATCACAATCTGGACTCAAATCTGGCTCCGGGTCCTGTTCACATCATACAGTGTCATCGCAAGTGTGATCACAGGTGGACAGCAGCACGGCCACATTGGAAATCCCAAATGTTTACAAGAAGCATCTTCCATGTTAAACTTTTAATTTAGGTCAGTACGTTAAGAAACAACCAAGAAAGATCACATATAAAGTGCACAGAAAGATGGAAAAAAGAACTCAAAACGACCACAAAGGATGCCAAAGGACCACAGGGAGACACAAACAGCCACGAGAAGATCCAGAAGGTCAACAAGAAGATGCAAACAACCACAAAGACATGTAAAACCACCACAATTTGACAAAAAATACCACAGACAGACACAAAATAACCACAAAGAGACCAAAAATTGATGCAAAGCAACGACAAAGAGACTTCCAGGACAAGATATAAGAAGGACGACACTGAGATGCAAACAACCACAAAAAGATCCAAAAGAATCACAGCTGGACAAACACAAAGATGCCAACTGACCACAAACGGACTGATAAGGATCGCAATGAAACACAGACACCTCCAGAAAGGTGCAATCCAACCACAAGAAGAAGCCACATAGCCACAAATAGATGCAGACAACCACAAAATATGCAAAATGATCACAATAAGATGCAAACTGAAGTGAGACACACAAAAAGCCACAGAACAACTCCAAAGAAAGTGCATGAAGTCTAAACTCTAAGTTCAGTTTTGTCCCCATTTCCTGTTTCTCTGTGCTTTGATCGAAGCAGCAACACAAATAGACATTTAACAGGCCGTCACATTTTACCAAACTGTCTTTTATCAGGCTGAATTTCCATAAAGTAGGTTGTCAGCTCTGTCTTTTATGAGTGAGTGTGTGGGTGGGAGTTTCCCAGTAGAAAGACGTCCAAATTAACTGCCTACGTCTTTATCATGAAATGCCAAATGCAGACGACACAACAAGTGAGTCATGCTCACATAACTGAGTCATTGTTAGTCTTGCAGGGATTAAAGTGTGTTTCCTACCCACAAGGACACAATATTTTTATTACCGTTTCATTTGGCTGATCCTCCAGCTGGATCACAGTGATGGAAACACTCCCACGTGACCTTCTGACCCCGAACAGCTGAGGAGGTTCATCCAAAATGTGCTAAATGAAGATGACATCCATTTCCGTGTCAGGTTATTTTAGGCTTCCAATGACAGGCTGTTTGTTCTGGTAATTTCTCTTCAAAATAAAATGATTACATAAAAACACAGTTAAAGAAGCAGTAAGCTAATAAGCTGTTATCAGCTGCTCATGCACAGGGCCGAGGATTTTATGTAACACAGCTTGCTGTTAGAGTTGGATGGTAGATGTTTTGACCATTTATCCATCACTTTTACCCATTTCAACTCTTTATCCAATTGTAATTTAGCATTTACTTGAAGCTGTTTCATTGTAATTTACATTATTATTATTCTGACTCACTGTATGTGGACTGGGGCTGCAAGGTGGCGCTGTTGGTAGCACCGTTGCTCGCAGTAAGAAAGTCGCTGGTGCGCGTCCCCGTGCAGCGT